CGAGGTGGAGATCATGACATCACCACCTACCTCTCCACCTCAGAGAAGGCTTTGCATTTTCTCAGTGAAAGCTTTAAATGGTCACTCGAGGTGGAGATCATGACATCACCGCCTGCCTATCCACCTCAAAAAACGCTTTGCATTTTCTCAGTGAAAGCTTTCTCTGGTCGTTCGACGTGGAGATCATGACATCACCACCTGCCTCTCCACCCCAGAGAACACTTTGTATTTTCTCAGTGAAAGCTTTCTCTGGTCGTTCCACGTGGAGATCATGACATCACCACCTGCCTCTCCACCCCAGACAACACTTTGTATTTTCTCAGTGAAAGCTTTCTCTGGTCGTTTAAGGTGGAGATCATGACATCACCGCCTGCCTCTCCACCTCAGAGAAGGCTTTGCATTTTCTCAGTGAAAGCTTTATCTGGTCACTCGAGGTGGAGATCATGACATCACCGCCTGCCTCTCCACCTCAAAAAAACGCTTTGCATTTTCTCAGTGAAATCTTTCTTTGGTCATTCAAGGTGGAGATCATGACATCACCACCTACCTCTCCACCTCAGAGAAGGCTTTGCATTTTCTCAGTGAAAGCTTTAAATGGTCACTCGAGGTGGAGATCATGACATCACCGCCTGCCTATCCACCTCAAAAAACGCTTTGCATTTTCTCAGTGAAAGCTTTCTCTGGTCGTTCGACGTGGAGATCATGACATCACCACCTGCCTCTCCACCTCAGAGAACACTTTGTATTTTCTCAGTGAAAGCTTTCTCTGGTCGTTTGAGGTGGAGATCATGACATCACCTCCTGCCTCTCCACCTCAGAGAAGGCTTTGCATTTTCTCGGTGAAAAACTTTCTCTGGTCATTCGAGGTGGAGATCATGACATCACCGCCTGCCTCTCCACCTCAGAGAAGGCTTTGCATTTTCTCAGTGAAAGCTTTCTCTGGTCATTTGAGGTGGAGATCATGACATCACCACCTACCTCTCCACCTCAGAGAAGGCTTTGAGAAAATCCAAAGTGCTCTCTGAATGGCGCCCAAGCCAACCAACCGACCTCCTCTGTTCACTAAGCAGCAGGGCAGCCACTGGGCATGGGGACCCAGGAGGCAATCGCAGGAGTAGCTGTGCCTAGTACAGTGCTTTCCAGCTTTCACAGGGATCCCACAGGTATGGTATCTACCGGAGGTTCCCAATCCCTAGGCCACAAACTGGTGCCTATTGGGGGCCAGGTTGTGTGGCAGGAGAGGGAGCTAACACAACTTGCACTGCCACCCTCCAATCACCAGAGGACACCGGCTCCTCTTCATCCATCACCATTACTCCCTTCCCTCTCCTTGGCCACGGCGGGAAGAAGAGGAATAGAAATGAGGAGAAGGGGTGAGAGGAGAGTCAGGCCTGGGACAGGATAGAGCACTGGTGAGGTTTGTGAGCTGACTTCAGGTGACAGTGCCAGGCTGCACACCCCAACACCACCACCACCCCCCTCCACCACCCTGGTCCATGGAGTGGTAGAGCCGGTCCCTGCTTCTGGGGAAGTTGGGGACCACCTGGTATAGACTGTACATAGCCGCACACTTGTAGTCAGCCCAATGTATGAAATTAAAGCCTGGATTCAGCTAGTTTCCTCTCATGCCACACCCCTCTAACATGTTTCACCCTCCCGTGAGCTTTCTCCTCCACAATTAGGACCATGGGAGGGTGAAACGTGTCAACGAGGTGCAGTATGGGAGAAGACTAGCTGAAGGCAGTCTTTACTTTCGTACATCGGACTGACTACAAGTGTGCGGCTTTATCCTTTATTATATGCTCAGCAGTATTGGACCGGATGGGCCTTTGGATGCTTTTATCTTTAGAGAGGGTGGGGATACCAGGAGCAGAAACACGGTTGATTGGAGCGGCACTGTTCATTATATACTGTATATAGTGACATTGGACCTCTGTTGCATGAAAATTATACTCAGTGAATTTTAATTCAATACCACTGGTCTAGGGTGTCTGCTTTCAGAAAATATAGAATGTTTTGTGGGTTTTTATGCAATCTTCAGGCCAGGGGTGGACTGACCATTTGGAAACTCGGGCACTGCCCGAGGGCCAGGGTCAGTAGGGGGCCCCATGAGATGCCCCTGTTACCTTTTTCATAGGCTTTTTTGAGTTTGGGCAAGGACACGAGGGCCCCATGATTCCCTATTGCCTGGGGGCCCCATGAGTTGTCAGTCTGTCCCTGCTTCAGGCCTAAAATTATATTTTAAACATGCATGCAAAAAAAAACCGCAAAAACGGCTCTGGCAGCGAAAGGGTTACACATTGCTGAACACCTAATGGTATAGATTACAGGGCCATTAGGTAGTGGATGTGTATGGATTGTTTTTGAAGAATAAATATATCATTTAGTGTCACCTTAATGGGTAAGAAGATGAGGGTAAAACACACCACAAATATACACAAGTGCCTGTTACAATGTTACAACTCTTACTTAAGTTCTTTCATAATATATACTAGAAGATAATGACCATGGTACAACATGTTTTTTATTATTACTTTTTTTTCTCTTTCATTTTCTTCCATGCTCCTTCTCCATCTTTCCTATCCAATGAAATGTCATAAACATATATACAATGTATCAGAAACAAGGATTATTTTATTTTTACATATCTTTCTATCTGCAAATGTTGAAACTACAATGCCTTAAATAGGTAACATCTATCAGACATGAACTGTTTGGATAAACCAGGCAAAAGCCTCAGTGTGAACAATGGAAAATGAAACATTGCTCTTCACAGAACCCCAAGGAGATCTTTTCCCAATTCAGCCAACGGATATTAGTAGCTTTGAAATATTTGACACCTTTTCAGCATTAAAAAAAGGAAATCTTGCCACCTGTTTGTGTCAAATTACATTATATGACCAAATAATGTTTATGGACCCGACTATCACTTCTACTTTAATGTCAAAGGTATGTGAACCCCTTCTCCAAATGACTGAGTTCTGGAGTTTCTATTGAATGATTCCATTAATACTACACCAAAAAAAGAAATTATAGACCATTGTGCTCTGCCAACCTTGTGGTAATAGTTTGGTGAAGACCCTTTTTATGTTCCATTATGATTGTGCCTTCTGTGCACAACACTAGGTCCATAAAGACATGGTTTGACGATCTTGGCCTGGAGGTGTTTGAGTGTCCTGCACAGCTCTGACCTCAACCCTACGGAACACCTTTGGTACGAATTGAAACACAGATTTTGAGTCAGGGTTTCTAATCCAACATCAGTGCCTGACCTCACAATGAGCACACGATTCCCCCAAAAACATCCTCCAAAGACATTATATCTATTTGTGCTTTTCCAGTGTTGTGGTAACAGTTTGGTGAAGGCCGGTTTCTGTTCCAGCATGGCTGTGCCCCTGACTACAAAGCCAGCTCCATAAAGACATGGTTTGATGAGTTTGGCATGGAGGAACGTGAATGGCCTGCACAGAGCCCCGACCTTATCCCTATTGAACACCTTTGGTATGAATTGGAACACCAATGGTAAGCCAGGTCATCAGTACCTGACCTCACAAATGAGTACGAAATTCAAAGCCAGCTCCATAAAGACATGGTTTGATGAGTTTGGTGTGGAAGGACTTGAGTGGCCTGCACAGAGCCCTGACCTCCACTCTACTGAACACCTTTGGTATGAATTGGAACTCTGATGGTAAGTCAGGTCTCCACATCCAACATCAGTACCTGACCTCCCAAATGAGCATAAAATACTCCCAAACACCATCTAAAGACAATATAGACAATTGTGCTCTTTGTGGTAACAGTTTGGGTGAAGGCCATTTTCTGTTCCAGCATGGCTGTGCCCCGGTGTACAAAGCCAGCTCCATAAAGACGTGATTAGATGAGTTTGGTGTGAAGGAAGTTGAGTGGCCTGCACAGAGCCCTGACCTCAACTCTACTGAATACCTTTGGTATGAATTGGAACACTGATTCTGAGCCAGGGCTGCTCATCCAACATCAGAACTTGACCACACAAATCTTCTTTTATCTGAATGGACACTCATTTTCACAGACACCCTACAAAAGCTTTTGGAAAGCCTTCCAAAAAGAGTGAAAGATGTTACAGTCACAAAGGTAGGCCAACTCCATATTCATCTCCATGGTTTTTAAATGAGATGTCTAGCAAACTGATATAGGTGTGATGGTCAGGTTTCCACATAGTACCCCAAGAAACACGTTTTTATACATTAACACATTTATAATTTATTTGCATCAAACTTACACCTTCAACACATTATACTGTGCATTCCCTTTTAAAAATATAACAAAAGGCAAAACTTTATTTTAGTTCTGGATAGTGTGGAGAAGGATTAGGAACCCTTACAGGCTTTTTTTTTTTCTACCCCCCATTAGGGAGATTTTACCCTCTCTATTTCTCCTGATGAATAATATCACTGAGAGTGAAAGTGAGAGAAAAATCACAAATTTTGGATTGTCACCAGAACTGGAATAGCGGGGAAATCTTCCAACACGGACACTAGTTCTGTTGACAACCAGGGATTCCCTCACTTTGGAGGGATTTCTTCTCTTTTCCTTTTGTGGCTATGGAACAGGAAGGTGAGGGCAAATCTCCCTAGTGGGACACAGATGGCAAAAAAATGACAGGGATTATATTACAGCCTCCCCCCCCCCCCCCCCAAAATGAAAATAGCTTTACGTACTTTATGCACACTTTGAAATTTTATAAATAATGGCACAATATGGATAAGAATTGTTCCCGATATCATATGGCAGCATCAGATTTATCACAAAGGTAACATTACAGAAGCTTTTTACTGGGAGCAGTCTTTAAGTGGCCATAAATGCTTGGGAGGCCCTTTAAGTCAGCTTTATTGATCATTAGACCGTTCTGCTGGCTTCAGATCAGAAACTTTGACAGGGTGTGGACACATGGTACAGAAGTCATGCTGCTTCCCAGGCAATAAAGCCCACTTAATGGGTGACTGATAGGCAGCGTTAAGGGGTTAATGATTAAATGAATCCCTTAGACTTTTCATGGCTTGCTCTTTTGTTATCTTTCCCCAGTTTTTTGGTATCTGGGTTGGTATCGCATCATATTCTTCTGCAAACTGGTCATTAAATTCTTTTAAGATAAACTTCCAGTAATCCGAGGCATTGATGCCTGGGTCAGGTTGAATGATCCAGTCTGGATAGAACTGAATGTATTCTTTGTAAGGCACAGTGGCCCACTGTGTGTTTGAATTTCTGAAACATCCTTTTCCTACCACTTCGGTGGAGCATATAGAGTTACATAGGACATTTGTTCCAAGGTTTTTGTATCCGGCGAGCCCCTGAGGTCGGTGGACTGATGCAAAATGCTCCTTGTGGTCATGTCCTCCAGCTTCACAAGGAACATTACAGAATGGACATAGCTTGCCACATCCAAAAACTCTCTTAAACAGCTGATCCTGTGGATTCAGAGTGACCATGGAAAGCACATAGTCAAGATCTAGAGAATTCATCTCTATTAAAATTTCATCCACCTGTTTAGAGAAAGAAGATTGAAAGTATTCAGAAAACTGCTGGGCTTTGTCATTGTTCTGGAATAAAATCACGTTCATAGCGTTCCTTGGAATGACTAATTCTTTTTGCAAAAGCTTACAAAACATTTTCAAAAAGGAAGATACATTTGAACTTTCTTGTACAGTTGGATCTCTCAATGCATTGTTGACTACGTGTGTAATTTTCTGAATAATTTTCTCATGCAAACTTTGAAGGCCACCAGGTTTCCCGTATTTCTGTAGTATATGTGCTTTAAGTTTGCTCTTCACAAACAATTCATATTCATTGATATACATCATATATTGGTCAAAGTTTTTTTCTTCCAGCAAATTTTTCAGCAGGTTGAACTGGAAAAACATCCGACTACTGTATTGCTTGGAGTGTTCGCTGAGCAAAATGTCATCCACAATTTCTCTCCCAAGGTTTTTATAGATGAATTCTACTATTGCTGGTTTCAGGCAAGAATGGCAAAAGTCCTCTGTCCTCTTTTTACATTGATCTTTCTCAAGGAATATATTCTTAAAGGTGGCAAGATACTGAGGTTTTAACTTCTCCAAGCTGATCTTTGGATCATTCTCTTGGATGAAGTTCTCATGCATCCTCTGGAACATGGGAGCTGCTCTCCCCAAGATGTGAAGCTTTAAGTCTAACTCAAAGTGAGGCGATGTATGGAATTTCTCAATAGCACTCTCTTGGAGTTCTTTGTTTACCATATTTAAGAGTTCTTGGCAATAGGTGTCATGGTAATCCTCTTTTGTGTTCATTTTAGCAATGACGTGCAATTTGTACTTGAGCAGCAGTGCATTCACATGTTTATTCATTTGAACCAGTCGACTATCAGGATATTTGGTTGAGTTTGTTTGAGAAGCTGTGTTGTACCAACTTATGTCAAAGTGCTGTAGCTGGGCTGCAAAGCATCTCCTTTCATAGTCCTTTAAGTTGTGTATGTTGTTCAACCTCTTAGTCACGGGTCCTATGCTGTGCTTCATGTCCATTTTAAGTTGGTGTAGGATTTCTTGACCAATGTTGCGTTTATGCAGGCTGATCAGTTTTATTTCTATGAATGTTTCATTCCATATTTTCTCAAACTCTTCATCGTGATTGAGCAGGTCTTCACAGTCTTTGAGGGTTTGGTATTTGCTTGCGGCTTTCTTTTCAATAACTTCCATAAATGTATTCTGATTCGTTTGAATCACAGCCTTCCCTTTCTGAATTTGCAAACATTCATTTAATCTCTGCCTTACATCGTCTTCAAGTTGTTTTGTTAAGGAGCTTAGACTATTGAAAAATTCCGCTCTGTATCTTTCTATCAGATGGGAGTTGGCATTTTCAGATCCACCCCCAAAATACTTTTCTAAATCTTCCCGCATGATGTTCTCTTCTCTCTGAAGTATCTCGCACATGTTATTAGTTAGATCTGTGTTTGGCTCTTTCTGTAAATTTGTCTGGTTCCGGATTATGTTTTCTGTCTCCTGCATCCATTTAAACATGACTTTGCTGAAGTTCCACTTCAGCTCATTATACTTAATGTGTAGGTGATCATAGGCATCTGCCACCAGGCTGTTTCTGAAACTGAAGATAAAATTTTCATATTGCACAGCCGCCCACAAGCTTCTTATCCATTCAGAAAACTCACTCCAGCTTTGGGCCTGTCTTTTAGATGTTTTCATGACATGTAAAAGGTATTTTTTAAATTCATAAACCTTTTCACTGTAACCTGTACTTACGGAAGACATTGGTGGAACACCATGCCAGAGACCAGGAATATACCAGCTATGGTGCTCATGGTCAGCATCCAAAACATCAGAAAAAGAACTGACCCCTCTCTTTTTTTGCATCTTTGCTGCAGTGAGTGTCATTTTATCAAGATCATCCATAACCTTCTTTCTATCTCTTAAGCATTTCTCACTAGCAGCGACATCAGCGACATTCTGATGTAGGAAATAGGATTTGGGTTTCTTGCCAATGGTTTCCATCCTTAGAAATGCATGGACTACAATCTGTAAAATGTCCTGCATTTCTGCTGCATGTTCCATGGAAAAATTTATGATCGTAAAGTCACTCAAGCCAACCACTAGGGTTGCTAATTCGTTGTCATGTTGGTTAGATCCTTCCAAGGAATTCATCTCCGGAGCTCTTAAACCTTCTGTGTCAAGTACCAAAATGAAAGAACAGCCTAGCTCCTGCTGAAAGTTCTCTTCGACTTTAATAAGAGTCATGAAGGCTCCTCTTGTACATCGCCCACTGGCCACTGGGAACTGCAAACCAAACATGGTGTTCAGAAGGGTGGACTTCCCAGTGCTCTGTACCCCCAGAACGGTTATGACTCTTATTCGGCACTGTCCTCCTGTCCTCTTATCTAGCTCACTCAAAACACTAGTTATCCACTCCAGTGGTATACTGGAGGCATCTCCATCGATCAGTTCCAGAGGCAAACCATCCAGTAAAAGTTCTGCTGCAATTTCGGGGAGCTTGTTAAATTTCCGTTCCTCCTTTCGAATCTCGTTATTTTTCAAAAGATAGCATTCGGCATCATAATACTGACCCAACTCACGTATGAAATGCTCAACACCCAGAGAGCTCTTGGACATGATTAAGTCTAGCTGTTTCATATCTGAGTCGCCTTTGGCTTTATACTGGTTCTGTAATTTTGATATGTTGGTTCTAGCAATTGAATCAAGGAAAATCTTCATCCATTTTAGAAAATAGCATCTCTCTGAGCTATTTTTCTGTGATATTGACTCTATGAAGGCAACAATGCCTGCAGATGGAGTATGCTCATACTGCTGTCTGATTAATTCTGTCCTTGTATTTTCAAGTTTTTCCCTGTATTGTTGGGAATTTTCATTACTTTGCCCTTTCATTCTACATATTTCTGTTCTCGTTCTGGCCAGTTTTTTACATAGATCCCCCTGTAGCTTCATTGTTTCTTCTTTATACCCTGCCACATCCCATATTTCTTTAATTATTTTCATTGCTCTCAGTTTTGCTGACTGACATTCTGTGGAGAGCTCGTCTACACGAATTCCAAGTTCACAAGCAGTCTCTGCCGTCTTCTCCAAAGTGACCTGCTTGGTGGGTTTTTCAATTAACTCTATCATTTGTTTTTGTAGGCGTCGAACCAAATCTGCATCATTTTTATTCTTCTTTTCTATTAAATGCCTGCCATCCATTTTTAATGCCGAGTTCAATGAATCTAACATTGAGTCATTTTTTTCCAGGTTTTGGGAAACCAAATAATATTTGGTGTTGGCATCTTCAAGCTTGGACAGCTGTGTGAACTCCATCTCACTAATGCTGTCTGCAAATATGAAAACTGCAGAGGATATCTGGGTTAAGAAGCTGAACTGCGTCCAGCAAGAAGAGATATTGCCATGGAGGTTTGTTACTGTAATGGGCTCTGGAAAAATGTCAGAGCTTTCTTGACCAACGGGCAAATACCAAGACATTTCTACTAAGCCGCTGGAGAGGGTTTTTTTTAACATACCCACCTTCCATGTCCCCCGGTGTATGAAGAAATTGTGATACTGCTGAGATGGTGTTAGAATTTGGTTCAGGATGGCAGATTTAGATAAGCTGCAATTTTCTAGCCTCACAAAAGAAAAAATTGGCATCTTGATATTCACCACGTTGTCTTCCCTAAATCCATTCTTATCTTCTAGTGAATGGGGTTTCCATTTTTTAACAATGTCCCTCAATGCCCACAACATGAAGGTGCATTCCGAACCATTGCAAGCTGGGAGTAGCAGCGGTACAGCAAACTGGCACATAGACAGTTTTATCACAATCTCCTGTTGTAAAAAACTGTCTGAGCAATGCAGGAGAATGCAGAGGACATCTAGGGGATGGAGATCTCCCGAATGGTCTAGGTCCATACTTTCAGATGATGGATTTGTAAAGTCTATGTTCAGATCCAATTCTGATTCCTCTATATGTGCTCTCCGCGCATTCACATTTAGCGAAATAAGTTTCCTTAGGAAATACCAAGGAGTGTCTTTTATTGAATGAAGTTCGATGTTCTCCAGACTCTCCCGTCCGATTGTTAGAATATCACTGACAGTCAACTTTGACTTCTTGTACTTTTCCATTCCTAACCGGCAGAGTATCTCATCGAAAACTCCACTAATGCCTTGAGGATCTGGAAAAAGAGGAAATAATTAATAATACATTGCAAAACTATTTCTGCGCCAAATTAAAAAACTGCAAAGTCTAAACTGCTGCTGTGCAATGTGAAAAACACAAATCATAACAAATATATATAAAAACAGCGCAAACATAGACTCCTAAAAAAAATAAAAAAATATAAAAAAAATATAAAAAAAAATATAAAAAAATTTTTTTTTTAATTTATAAAGTGAATGATAATAATAGATAGTGAATATCTCCAATAAACACCAAAAAGTCAGCGTATAATGAAAATCAAATTCCGTGTATGATGAGAAAATTATCCCAAAATTTCTTCAAATGTACTTCTTACTCACCAACATCTGGTGAGTGCATTTGATGTTGGTTTGCACGGGGGAAGGTGGAAGCTTTCTTACATTTGAAGACATTTTGGGATAATTTTCTCATCATACACGGAATTTGATTTTCATTATACACAGACTTTTTGGTGTTTATTGGGGATATTCACTATCTATTATTATCATTCACTTTATAAATTGAAAAACATTTTTTTAAATATTTTTTTATTTTATTTAGGAGTCTATGTTTGCACTGTTTATATATATTAATTAATAATACATGCTTAGCCAATTCTGAGCATTGCACCATGGAGTAAGAAACTGGTATAAGTAAATATACAGCAAAATTTCCGGTCAGTGACAAAGAAACGTTGTAATAAATTTGAATTTAAATTAAATTATAAATTATCGAACACAGAACTGTATTAAAGTCATTGTAAATGTTTAAATTAAAAAAAAAATTAACAAAAGTGTTATACCTTACCTGCTATGTGCAATGGTTGCGCACAGAGCAGTCCTGGTCCTCCTCTTCTTGGGTCCCCCCACCAGTGTTCCTGGCTCCTCCCTTCTGCTAAGTACCCCCATGATAAACGGCGTGTGGGGGAACTGTATTAAAGTATTTGTAAACGTTTAGATTGAAAAAAATTAACAAATGTATTATAACTTACCTGCTCTGTGCAATGGTTGTGCACAGAGCAGTCCTGATCCTCCTCTTCTTGGGTCCCCCCACCAGTGTTCCTGGCTCCTCTCCTCTGCCAAGTACCCCCATAACAACAAGTGGCTTGCGGGGGAACTGTATTAAAGTATTTGGAAATGTTTTGATTGAAAAAAATTAACAAAAGTGTTATACCTTACCTGCTCTGTGTAATGGTTGTGCACAGAGCAGTCCTGATCCTCCTCTTCTTGGGTCCCCCCACCAGTGTTCCTGGCTCCTCCCCTCTGCCATGTTCCCCCATAACAAGCGGCTTGCTATGGGGGTACTCATGTGTGCTCTCTTCCGAGTAGGCTCTGTGTGTCCGTAAGACACATAGAGCACGGCTCGGGCCTGCCCCTGCTCCCTCCTCATTGGCCAATGGCTCCTGCTGCTGTGTCTGAGCCAATGTGGAGAGAGAGAGAGGAGAGAGAGCCTCTGCTCTTCTACATATCACTTGGTCAAAATCGGGCTCAGGTCAGTATAAGGGGGGATGGAGGGGAAGCTGCATACGAAAGGTTTTTTTACCTTAACCCCTTGGCGCCGGCGCCTCCCGGCCCTTTAAGGGTTTCAGAAGCGGGGAGGGGTTTTAGGGTCATGTCACATGATTGGGAAAGGTCCCAATCGAAAGAGGAGATCGGGACCTTTTTTGTGAGTACCGGACATGTGTGCTGGGAGCACGCAGGGCGTGCCGCTCTCAGCACATATGATTTTTTTAATAGAACGCAAATGTGCAGCCGCTCGGCGTCTAGGCCCAGATTGGCGCCGCACATTTGCGATTGGCCGGCGCGATGAGGTTAATGCATAGAACGCATTATGGTAAAAAAAACCTTCAGCCTTTAGAACTACTTTAATCTGTGTCTTCATATCTGTCTGGAGTTCAGGTTTAAGAACTCGTGCTCATTTGTAGGCATGTGTTTAGTGCATATTTTGCCTAAAAAAAAAAACACACACATCTCATTGGTTCCAATCCACAGCTGGGTGCAAGAGGCAGGTGCATGGCCATGCATGGTCAATGATATTGACCCCTGGAGGTTGCGTCATCACACTGGTCAGAGCTCACGGTACTGCTGCACTGACAGTACTGCTGCACACAGTGCAGAGCAACAACTGTACAGTGTGGATGCTGGACAAGCAAAAGAATTATCCATTACGTGATTAGCCAGAAGACTGCTAGATTTAAGGTATGCATTCTTTTTTTTTATTAAAAAAAAAAAAAGATGGATTCAAGATCTGGCAGCAATAAAACACGAGAGCAGGGAATACTAAAAGGGGAGGGCCCCAATACCCTCCTAGCAGCCAGAATCAGGCTAGTTCTGCTGCTGCTGGGTGATTATTAAAAAAAATGGATTCAATGTTTACATGATAGATATGTATAGTCATAAAAAAATCCAGGGGCTCAGATTTCTTACCCATATCATGAGGATCTGCCATCTTTGCCGACTCCATGGGTGTATTCCACCCGGTGACAGGACAGGGGATGACCCTGTGTGCTGGCAGCTGTCTGAACACCGGTTCCTTAGGCCGTGGTGCCCTAGGCGGGATCAGAGGTTTATTCGGTGTTGGTGGAGCACAGGGGCGATTATTCACGCAAAGGGCTGACCCTAAGTAAAAAAAAAAAAAAAAAAAAAATGTCATCAGAATTGATTGTCCATAGACATTCATTACATAACCCATTTTCTTTTAATTTGCAAAGTATAAAACAGAACTATTTGAACTATTTTTTGAAAATCGTGAAATTGCACATACTGTATATACATATAATGTGTAGATGTATGTTTCTAAAAAGCAATGTGTGATTGTAAAATCATTGTTATATTCTCTATCTCTCCCTCCCACTCTCTCTCAATCTCTCTCTCCCCCCCCTCCATCTCTCCCTCTCTCCCCACCTCTCTCTCCCCTCACCCCCCCCCTCTCCCTCTCCTTCCTCCCCCCTCTCTCCCTCTCTCTCCCTCACCCCCCACTCCCTCTCCCTCCTCCTCCCTCTCTTCCTCTCTCCCTCTCCCCCTCTCCTCTCTCTCTCCTCTCCTTCTCTCTTCCCCCCTCTCCCTCCGCCTCTCTCTCTCTTCCACCCCCTCACTGTCTCTTTCTCTCTCCCCCTCTCTCTCTCCCTCCCTCCACTCCCCCCCTCTCCCCCCCCCCCCCCCCCCCCCTCTCTCTCTCCCCCCCCCACTCCCTCCCCCTCTCTTTCCCACCCCCCCTCTCGCTCCCCCTTCTCCTTTTTTGTGCTGGGAAGGGTCATTTGGAGGGGGTTGTGCTAGAAGGTGGGGTTTTGGGGGATTTATGTTAGGAGGGGGGAATTGGGGGAGAGGATTTATGCTAGGAGGGGGGATTTGGGGGAGAGGATTTATGCTAGGAGGGGGATTTGGGGGAGAGGATTTATGCTAGGAGGGGGGTGAACTAAAACTACAGGTGAAGTTTTATTTTTTGGGGGGCTGGGGGGTCGTGTAGTTGGTCTTGCCTAGGGCGCAAAATAGTCACCAGCCCTGCATAGGCCACACAAGTGCATCTAAACATTGCATCACATACGGGGGCTATTGCTGCCAGTGTTGGGGTGACAGCAATAACTCTAGGGCCGACATTCTTGGGTAGACACTTTAGTTTGTCACCATTTTTGGGCACACACAATTTTTGAGTCTTGTCATGTTTGGTATCTATTTGCTCGACACAAACCTATCCTTGTTATTGTACCCACAAAAATGGGATTATATATTTTATTTTGGGTAAATTAACATCAATTTTAGTGTATTTTGTTCTGAAAATATGCGTCTGATACACAGCTACGCAAATAGCATTTTACATAACAATTTGCGGCACCATTTTATTCTTCTGTTTTCAGAAAATATATCAAGTTGGGGGGAGGGGTTCTAAGTAATTTCCTAGAAAAAAAATGCTGAATTTATAGTGTGTTGAAAATTAACCACTTGCGGACCGCCTGCCTGCAGTGTAGTCTGGACGGGCGGCCTGTACAGGCACAGCAATGTACGTCGCTGGCCTCTTCTGGATACAGGGTGCATACGCGCCCCCCCAACCGCCACCACAGCGGGAGTTTCTCAGCAGGACCCCGCCATGATTCATGGTCGGAACTTGCTGATCGGCTGTGTCCAATCACACAGGGCTCTGTACAGAAGGAACAATCTCTCTGTTTCTGCTCCCTGCAAATAGATTTTTAGTAAAAATCAGCACGCCTTACACAAATTAACACTTGTTAGGCACACACTTAACCCCTTGATTACCCAAAATTGCCCTTGATTATCCCTTCCCAGCCAGTGTTATTAGTACAGTGACAGTGCATAGTATTTTCACTGATCACTGTATTAGTGTCACTGGAGATGTCAGTGTCAGAATGTCAGTTCCCACCCAGTGTCAGTTGGTGTCAGATTGCCTGCCACACTATCACAGTCCTGATATGAGTCGCTGTGAACTGCCATTAGTAGTATTAACAAAATAAATTCCAGTATATATACCATAGTTGGTAGATGCTATAACTTTCATGCAAACCAATCAATATTTATTACAGGTATATATAGCACCATCAATTTATGCAGCACTTTTACATATATATATATATATATATAGAGAGAGAGAGAATATTCACATCAGTCCCTAACCATCA